TTTTTTTTGACAGGACATTCAGTGGATATTGGGATGTCCAGTAGATATCCAAAGATTTGGTGTGCTGTCTAGGTTTATTCTTGAGAAAAAATTATATTTTTTGAGAAACCATGTATACGGCTCAAAAAATCTGATATCTGATGGTTGTATTTTAGTTTTTAGACCATGCACAACTTTTTATGCTAAATAATTTTATTTTGATAAAACTAATAAAAAAGTTTTCCATAGGCAGAGAAAACTACATAAAAAATGTAATAACATAAAATAAATAGAAATTATTCTAAATAAAAATTTGGGCCCAAAACATAGAAACCACCCTGAGATGAAGATAATTCTCATTGCTCTAAAGATGGACAAATTAAATTAATTAAAAATTCAATAGCTATCCTAGTTCACTATTATTTATCAATCTAATAAATTATAAAATAAAAAATAAATTTATATTTTTTCAATAAAAATGACAATTTCAAATGTCATAACAATATAATGTAAACACTCTTTTAGTGGAAAAAATTAAATAAAATATCTTGTTTTATGAAAGTTACAGTGAGACAAAATATTTAAAAACTGGCAAGCTCCTCTTGTACAGAACTCTATATACAATTTTAATTTTAAGCCAAAAGGACCTTCTTAGGTAAAACTAAAGAGGTGACATTCATTATATTACTATAATATTGGTACCGATCTTTGAACGCCCGAGTTGCGGAGGTTATTTGACCTACCTGTAGCATTACGACCCAAATGCCAAGTAAGTATTCCGCTCGAGTTGCAACGCACGATATGCGCATAAATCAATTATTCAAGAACGTCACATTGGGTTTGTTAAATTAATTTATGTGGCATGTTTTACTACTACAATACTTGCTTCGACTCTTTATTGTATTATAAAATATAATTATTACACACAAAAACAACCACAACCACTTCACTTAGTTCACCTTACAATATAAATCATTCATGAACTCAAAATTAATATTCAAATTCAGGATCCTACGATTTACATATAACTAACATTTATTTTTACAAACTGTCCACTGCTGTCTACGTCTACCTTCTACATACAAACGACGTGTACCTTTAGTTAACATCTGAGACGCATAGATAACGCCATCATTGCTACGGTCGTTGTATTTCCTACCTTTATGTCACTGATTTATGTGCATCTTATTTCTCCCAGCTAAGTCAGTAAAATAATCAAACTCTGTAATTTTTTAAAAAATACGCCGTCAGTTGTACGAATGGACTTTTTTCGGGTTAATTAGACAGTGAGGCGGCCGCGACGCGATCATTAGTACCTAGTCGGCTTCAAAACTAAATCCTGGCCTTTTTTATCTTTATCTTTGTCGGTTGTAAGCAGGTAGGGTTAGGTTTGGCGCAGAACACTGTGGACTCTTGGGTCTATTGTATTTCACTGCTTTCCTTGTATTCAGGTATTATCTTTGGAATAGTCCTGTGTTTTTCGTTAGTTTTAATAAGTTCCCTACCAAGTATTCCTGGGGCGTTCTTTCTGGTTCTAGGCCGAAAAGGATGAAACGTCGCCTAGTAAGAGCTTCGCATTCGGAGCTCACATGGTATGAGGTTTCTTCCTCTTCCATGCAGAGTCTACACGTAGTGGGATGGTTGTGTAATCTCATCACATGAAGGTGTTTCAGCAAGCAGTGTCCCGTTAGTAATCCTACAATGGTGGATATCTGAGGCCTTGCGAGTTGTAGTGCCTTAGTAGCCATGTGTGGGTTTGGTCTCCTTAGCATGAGCTTACTGATTCTGTTTCATCTCATCTGTTGCCAGTGAATTTGGTGATTTGTGGTTATCCACCTGTTCACTGCCTCTCGAGCAGATGTTTTGCTTATCCCAAATATAGGTTCGGGTCCTGTGAATGGTTGATCTGATCCCTCTTTGGCGAGTTCATCAGCCTTTTCATTTCCTTGGATACCTTTGTGCCCTGGTACCCACGCTAGTTTTACCTTGTTGTGGATTGCCAGATCATTTAATATTCCAAGGCAGTTCTAGGCAAACTTTGACTTGATTATGTTTGAATCAAGAGCCTTTAAGGCTCACACAATTCGATTGCATGTATTTCAGCCTGAAATACAGTGGTATGTTTTCCCAGTGAAACGATGATGGCGCATTTGGGTTAAAATCCATGTACGCCAGAGCCTGTTCCCTTGTTGTTAGTTTTAGATCCATCCGTATACCATACGAGACCGCTAAGCAAGTATTTATCTATCTCCTTATTTACCTTGTTCCAGTTACAGTTGACCTGGAAGAGTCTGTTGAAGGTTGGGATAGGTGTCATGTGATCTGATCCCATGTTTAATATAGAATCATTTACTTCATGTGTGGTTTTATACGTCCCAGTGGGTTCCAGTTATTGGAGATTTCCAGTCTGTATGCACTCATTCTGGCCTCCCACTTTATGACTAAGTCAAGGGGTGGGAGGTTTAAAATAATTTCCATAGAGGCTGTCGGTGTACTTCTCAGTGCTCCTGTAATACAAAGGAATGCCAGCCTCTGAACTCCTGAGAGGGTATTGAGGGCGGTTTTCTGGTTTACTTTTGGCCACCAAACAACCGTTATCATGGGTCTTGTTATTGCCAAATATAGCCAGTGGACCATTTTTGGTTTTAATCCCCATGTTTTTTCAAATGCCCGTCTCCTTTTAATGAGAGAAATTTTACATTTGTTGGTTACTTTTTGTAAGTGTTGGTTCCAAGTAAGTTTGCAATCTAGGATTAGACCCAGATATTTTAATTGGTTCGTTTTGTTTAGCCTTCCTTCAAACAGAGTCAGAGTTTCTAAGACCTCCAACCTTGTTTTTCCGAGTAAAGGTTATGAGTTGTGCCTTGTCAGGGTTAACCAAGAGGTTTTCCTTAACGCACTACATTTCTGTCAGCCTAAGAGCTCTTTGCATGAGTTCGAAGACTATGTCATCGTTATATCCTTGGGCGTACAGCCCTTGATTGTTCAGTCTTTCCAGCAGTTCATCTGCCACTAGGTTCCACAGCAGAGGAGAAAGGACTTCACCCTGTGGGCATCCCCTGTGGATATTCACCTGCATGGTTTCACTAAACATTTGTACCTGTACTTGCTGTCCGCGTAACATGTCTTCTATCCACCAGCAGATGGTGACTTCTATTCCATGTTTGCGAGCGGCAGCTACCATTGATTTAAAGGAGGTATTATCAAAAGCTTCCTCTATGTCAAGTAATGCTCCTAGGACTATTTCTTGGCTATTAAGTCCTCCAACTATCTTGGTAAAAAAACCCAGGCCTGCATGCGGACGTTTTTTATTCAGTAATTTTACCCCATTAGAGCTCAGTGTGGAGTCAGATTATTCTCACGAAGCCTTCTTACAACGTATGGCACAAAATATTATTTACCCATATATTTTTGTAATATATAACTCCATTTAAACTCTTATTATTTGTTATAATTAACGGTTTAGTTACTCAACTATAACAATTTTCTGTGAGCATTACTAAGTAGGTCCTAAACGGCTTGAACATCAATTTCGCCTTTCTCTTTAAAAATTGTACTACATAGTTGTTCCTCATTTTTGGCTTGCCACTCTCCATCATACTCTTTGCAAGATTAAAGTCCCCAAACATTTTCAATTGGATGGGTGTAATGAAAATTAGGGGGATTATCTTGTTTTGGTACAAAAGGTATGTTATTTTGGTGAGACCAATTATTTTGAGTTGCTCTTGCATATTGCATAATGATAGAACGCTAAGTCGGGCCCATTACATTATATCGTCTCCAATGTGATGTTGGTGTTTACAAAATCAATTAATTTAGTGAGGTAGTTATTAATATAACTTTCAGAATATATTCGACTCAAATATGTTCTATATATCTCTTATTAGTTGAAATAACACACCAGTACATTGTTTGGGCACTCTTCTATATTGTCCGCATACAAACCATTGTTTCCTACTATTGTTTTCTTTGATTTCCGAGTTGGTAAGTGTAAAGAATGCTATTCAATTCTGTCTTGCAAATCTTGACGTTAAATTACCTCTGTAGCATAGAGTTTTTCCTTAACATACGACCAAACTGTGTACTCCAAAGAAACGAAATCGCATAAACGTGGAGACCAATTAATTAAAGCTTCTGCACCTCTACCAACCCACCGATTTGGATAATAGTTACTCAACCAATTACGACACCTATCAAAATGCATAAAAAAAGAGAGATCTTCGCTCGTTTAGCGTCAAATCTTCTATTATCTCGAATAAATTAATTTATAAAAACTCGAGGTACGTTATTACCATTTAGATTTCAAAGTAGAATGGGATAACCAATTAACCAATTTGTTTCGTAAAGTTGCTGTCCAAACATTAACTTTAAACGAGTGTTGGTAATGTGGATACCCTTTAAACATGTGGATTCTCATCACACTAGTAGTGTATTATGAGGGTTAAACATTCCTTGTCACATAAAGGTGGCCTCGTCGGTGAAAAGGATACATTTAAAAAAAAAATGAGATTGAGGGCTGTCCACTCTTGTAAAGTTTCACAAAAATCCTCTCTATCCGGTAGATCGTTTGACAAGAGTTTTCGGACCTGTCTGTAGTGATGATGTAGCTTCTACTCCAAGTACTAGCCAAATACATACAGGCTGGCCCATCAAAAATGTACCGCAAGACATTACAGGGTGGAAAAGAACTTTTATTGTCCTGAAGTAAAAATGTATTTTTTAAAAAAGTGTGGCTTATTATGTTTTTACAATAAGCCTTTCAATTTAAAATTTCTTGTGTTCTGAGCGATTCTCACGCTAGGTGTAAATATTAGCCAGTCTACACTTTATGTGTTTATGTTCAAAGAAGTGTTTTTCTTAAAATAAATCAAATAAATGAATAGATAAAATAAGGAGTGGGTATTTTCTTACATACAAGATAATGCTCTGAATCTTACAGTTTGACATGACAATCAATTCTGCTTCTAAATAAATAAATATCGAGAAAGCTGCATCAAGTCATAAAATTATTTTTGTTTCAGATATATGTTTCCTATCTTCAAAAAAACTTATAAGTACAAATTGACAGAAGATGATCTCTTTTCTCCATTAAAAGAACACAAATCTAGTTACTTAGGATCAACATTAGAAAGATTATGGAAAGAAGAATATAGGATACACAAAAAGACTGCACTACATAGGGCTTTATTTAGGCTGTTTGGCCTTAGGTATATGATATTAGGAGTAATAAGATTAATTGACGAGCTCATGTTAATGTAAGTTAATTTTTGAACATATTAATTATACTGCGCGACATATAAATTGCATGTTCAGTTATTTTTTTTAATTTTTTAACATTAATATATGCCAACTTGTTACGTATTGAAAAATATTAACGTGAATATTTAGTTGGGAAAATAAATTAAATACCATTTACCGAGCCACAGCCGAGGGGTAAATCAAAATAGTGGTACGTTTTCACCCGGAATCACCAAAAACACTACAAATTTTCTCGAAAATTCCGCAGTCATCATCGAAAATTAAGGTCGAAATCATCGCCGAAATCACTTCGAAATACTTCGAAATTACTTCAAAATCACTTTGAAATTACTTCGAAATCAATTAGTCGTTCAAAAAAATTAATGCAGCAGCTTCTGTGTCAAAAGACTAAGGAATAGTTCAAAAATCAAGGTTATCGTATAAAGTTAAGGTGAATTGAGGCTATGAAAAGCTAAGTGGACTAACCCACAAAATTGTAGTTTTCTTTTTTTGATACTATTTGAATCTTGATATCTATATCTATCAAGAACAAAGCAGATAAAGCCACCTTTTACGATAGATCGCTAGATGGCAGTGTTATCGTTGTTTTGCTTTTGAGCATGTTAACATATTCATTCAAAAGCAAAGTGGTCTAACCGCACTTAGTTCAAATTGGGGTTAGTGTACTTAGCTTTTCATAGCCTCAATTTTCAGCGAAGTCACCGACATTACATAACAAAAATTTAGTCAATTTCCGAAATACGGGTACGTTTTGACTAAAATGGTTTCCCCTTGGGCCACAGCTGATACAATTTAAAAACAGTATGTACAAACAAACAATAACAGTCGCAAATCTCAAATCTGCTTTACTGATTGTCTACGTTCATGCGTGCATCTGTGTTTGTGGTTTAGTGGCGCCTCCTCGAGACTATTCGAGAGATTTGGAGAGAAATCCAATCCAGTTAGTTATATAGTTATTCATACTTGGCACAAGTGCGTGTGAAAACTACAGAGAGCCAGTACTAGAGCAAACAAGAAAAAACAAAACCAACGTTGCTATTTATACGAGCCGATCGCGTTGTAATGTTCGCCAGGCTTTATAGGCTGGTGTCGCTGGTTTTGTTTCTTTCCTACTTGCCCTAGTGCTGGCTCTCCTGTAGTTTTCACACGCACTTGTGCTAAGGAGTCGATACCGTAGTTTACTTAAGTAGTAACATTAGCAATTTTATTGTCGACCGACCCAAGTGTTAGGTCTCTGATACATCGTTAATCCGTACAAGGTACTAGCAGTTTTTTTATGTCTTGACATAAAAACCGTATTTTTTGTTTAATTTATTTGAAAAGTATTTTTTATTTAAAACAGATATTTTATTTTGATTTTTCCGAGCTCTTTTGACGCAGAATTAAAAGGTTATGAAGCAAACCAGATAAATAACACTGGCGCCCAAGTCTTTTCCGAATCTAAGGCTTCACAAATAAGTATTGTTTCCTCTGCGGCTAGAAAACCTTGATTAACTAAATTTGATACGATAGTAGATCTACGAGAGGGTACAATGTTATTTGGCAAAATTGTAAATAGAGTCGGCCACAATGCTCAGATACCCTTGGGGAGTGTTTTAGCATAACCAGAGCAATCGGAAAAGCGTAAACTGACGTCAATTTACCGCAGAATTCGCAGCTCGTCTTTGTCTCGTATTACCATCAAGCATAGACATATATGCTGTTTTTTTTTATTCTCCTGCACCTACTTCGTCAGTATTCATGGGACCTTCATGGGATCTTGACCAGTTTGAGTACTGTATCCTTTCATCTTGTCCAATATTCACAACGTTACAAGAGGAAGAAGGTCAGTAGTTATGTCAAAAACAAGCTCAATGGACTTTGGAGTGGAATGTGGAATCGTGTCGTTTTCAGTGACACCTTTTTACGATCCCATGATGGTCGTAAAAAAGTCCGCTGAAGACGTGGAGAAAAATGTGTACTTCAGTTTTACGGACAGCATGAGACTGCGCTTACTAGGAGCTTATGATATGAAGTGCCATAGCATCTAGTGTTTTTGAAAAGAAACATGAACGCCTTCCTACATTAACAATGTCTGCAATCTGTTGCGTTATTCAATCTTCAACAAATCAAGAATCCAATTTTCTACTCCAACAAGCCTTATTTTTTTGTATTTTTACAATATAAAAATACAATTTTTGAACGATGAGAAAAATACAGTTACTCTAGCTTAGATCCCGGGACCCAGCGTGGTAAAGGGTGGCAAGATTGGACTGGAGTATTGCAAGGAAAGGGGCTCAAACACCCTTTGTGTGATCTAAGCCTTTTTCCGATATCAGCAGTAGCACAATATTAGGAGGGATTAAAATAAAATGGGCAGTAGAAGGACCGACAATTTGAACGGTCTCTTGGGGCTAAGATAAGCTACAACTAAAAAATGTCAAACCCTATATCTGTTATGCACAGTAACTGGGATCCCTATCGGATACCGACAAATCAAAGGACACCTTAGTAAATTTGGACTAGAGCAAATTTTGTAATAAGGACAAAACTTTATAATCCAAGGGCATTATACTTGGGAACATATATCCAAATCCTAAACATCCTTGGGGAAAATATGATTATAAGGGTCACTTTAGTCATCGAGACTATGTCCTTGTTACCTTAGCGATAGAATAGGGCATAATAGATCTTTTATGCATCTGCCACCCCATGACAACATAACATATTTACTTGTACAATACAAATCTCGGATTGGTTGGATATCTTTTATAAATGACGAAAATATAATAATATTAATCATATTTTTTATCAAACACAATCTTCAGTTTTATTTTTTCCTTCAGAAGCAACGCATCTACCATGACACAAACTGAAATTTACAATCAGGAACAACCCTTAAATTTTTACATACGATTTGAGTATTATAAGTGCAGTAGATAGGACATATGCAGTACGTTAACCCACGCATCATGTAAAATAAAGATGAGATGAGCTTAATTATATTTAGACGTGAGTGTGATAAAGAGAGTAATTGATTTAACTATGCCCTTTCGATGACAAGCATGGGATATTATTACGGTCAGTACTCGGCGACGTATTATTTTATTTCTCTCTATTTATTCGCGTTGTGTTTCTATAACGTTCTCGTGGAGTGAAGTTACCGTATTGTATACCTATTACTAGGCGTAATGCCTTGGATCCAATTCATCTAATCTTACCTAGGGTTGACCACAATCTTGACTCAGGCTGTGAAATGAGGAACTAGAAGGAAAATGCCAGAATAACAATAAATGCTTGGTGTTTAGGGTTGGTCACTCTATTAAACTTTACGAACGGTCTAAAAATGGCTATTTATTTTTATAAAAAGAAAACTAGAATAATATTTTTTAAATTAAAGGAACCAAAAGAGATTAACGGCTGTGTGCACGTAGCTTAGATTAGCAAAGAAAGACTTGTATTTCATGCAGAATTGTTTACTTTAAAAGGCAAAGCGATTTTGGCATAACGCTATCTTTAGTGCTTATTGTCTCCACAATGATATCCAAAAAGTTTAAGTCATCTTAATTCCTAACATTAAATGTTAGAGTATCCCACCTTGCTACTCAAAGCTGGTTTGGAACTGTATAAATACCCTGGAATGTCTTGGTGCTCGGAACAAAGTTACTTTGATCTGGGTTCCGGGACACAGTGGTGTGGAGGGCAACGTAAAAGGCGACGCGCTTGCTAAAAGAGGAACCGAATCTGTGTTCATAGGACCAGAACCATTCCTGGGCATTGCAAAGAGCACGGCTAAAGAAGTTATCTCAAAATAGACGGATGGTGCAACACTCACGAACTGTAGAGATACCCCAGGGCTAACTCATTCGAAGGCGTTTATAACCAACCCTTCTATGAACGCCTCTGCTCAGATCCGAGAATGGAATAGGAAAGATCTACGCATTTTCACTGGACTGATGACAGAACACTGCCGTCTGAGCAACCACATGAGAAGGATAGGTCTGTAACAAACCTCGGACTGTCGATTTTGCAGCGTGCAATGTTAAAATTTTTATTTTTAAATTTTTGTTAAAAATAAAAATTTAAACAATGGCTGCATAAACTCCTAATTTAAAACATATTTTAAAGAAAATAGCTATGAATATTTGGGACACTAACATTTAATGTTAGGAATGAAGATGACTTTTAAACTTCTTGTATATCATTATGGAGACAAGTACTGAAGATGCCGAAAGCGCTTTGTATTTTAAATTAAACAATTTTGCTAATATATTTTTTGAATTTTTAACAATCAACCTAAATCATTTTTTTTATTTTTAGAGTTATAGTGCCTTACTGTATACGAATGCTAGTTAAATTTTTGGAAGCTGGCCAGATTCTAATAACAAAAAATGAGGCACTAATATATGCTGCTGTCCTAGTTTTAACCCTTTTTTTAGATGGTATAATACAACAACCCAATTACATGGGTTTGCAACATATCGCACAAAAGATGAGAGTTGCATGTACATCATTGATATATAGGAAGACTTTGAGGTTTAGCAGAACAGCTCTAGGTATGTAACAATAACAATCAGAGTTCTTAGAAGTCAGTAGTTATGCCGACAACTTTTTCAATTTTAAAAATTTGTATGTGCAATATTTTGAACCACAGATACTTTTTGTAAAACCAAAGGTTCATCAAAGAGTCTATAGAACACACTTATTCAAAAACCTATACACCAGGTGCTTGGTTCAATCGCGAGTGTGGGATTTAGGCTTTTGTTATCACTTGTGCGGCCATTTAGTAACGTTGCCTTATAAGCAAAACTTTCTTTTGGGTCTTCTCCATCTTTTTTTAATATGTTGCCACGTTTATTTCTTGGGCCCATATGGATGCTCCATATAAGAGGATGAAGTGCGCTACTGCACTCGGGACTTCCAGTTTCCTGCTTTTGGGGCCGCCTATATTTTTCATCAGTCTAGCGAGGGATCCAACTCTTTTTCAACTATGCCCAGGTGCATCAGTTGTCTTTATTGTTTGATGAGTATTCCTTTTAGGAGCAAACGCGGCTTTGCTCCATCTGCCTTCATACGGGGGCCTCTTAAGATTACCACTTTCGTCTTCTCTGGAGCTAGTTGTAGCGCATAGCTAGTTCTGCTATCTGCTGTAGTTGTCTCTGATCTTCACCCTTGTGCAAATAACGGAATCGTCTGCGAAACCGATGGTTCTGGTTCCTTCTCCAAGAAATGCTCTTAGTGCCGCGTAATATAGGCTGTTCTATTGGGTGGGTCCTATCACCGACCCCTGTAGAATTCCCGCAGTCACCTCTAGTGATTAGGTGTCTATTAGAATTTCTCCTGTCATATACTTGTATAACGGTAGTAGAGTGGGTAGGTACTACTATGAACTAACATGGAGTAAAGAAAATTAATCATTTGTAGTAGATTAAGCCAACCGACTTCAGGAAAACAATCCTTTTGCGGATGATGAAAGATAGTTAAAAGTAGTTTTTAAAGTATAAATGTGGATTTATTATTGTCTTGAATGCAGACGCGGTTTGAGAGGGATTGCTTTAAAAACTTAATTATTAACGTAATTTTGATATTACTTTATTAGAAACTCTGAGAAATGTATTAATTTATATATGTTCTATTTTTTTAGGTAATACTACTGTCGGTCAATTAGTAAATTTAATATCGAATGATGTCAGCAAGTTCGATCAACTATTTGGGTTAACTCATTACGCGTGGATTGGACCAATCCAAGTGGCCGTAGGCACTTGGTTATTATATAAAGAAATTGGAGTTGGTGCATTTTTTGGAATGGCTTTCCTCATTTCGTTTGTGCCACTTCAAAGTAAGTACAATTTAACGTTTCATCATGAAATTAACAAACACGTGATAACGACTTTTGCCAGAACTAATGAGCTGGTCTTTCTCGACCTATTTAAAGGTCTATGCTCACTATAGGTCAAGCCACGATCCAGTAACGGTCCGATCAAAAATGATTTGTCATAATTTAAAGGAGTTTTCATATTCCAAATTTAATTAGATTACGTATAACCGAAGGAGAGGGGAATTTTGGCTAACACTGTATACATATAATAACCATGAAGAAAAATAGCTATTTATCGAACCAGTTAGGAAACACCTTATTTTATGTAACGAGTGAATATTTGCAGGACAAGCAAAGCCAGTTCCGCAACAATAACGGTTTACACAAACGGCATTTCGTAACGTGTTACGTACAATATATTTTTTTTAATTTTGACTAGATTATTTATAAAATTGTGTTTCGGCAAAAATTACGGACATCTATGCAACCAATATTACTTTCTTGTATTGTTAGTTGCATATGCATAAATTCATTCATTTTAATTACAAATTGAAAATAATATTAATTTATTCTCAACGACTTGTTGTAATGTGTTTTTATTGCTTGTTAAAGTTATTTATTTTTCAAGAAAGTGTGTTATTGTGTCGTGTATTATGTTTTAAATATTTTGTTCTGATCTAGAATATAAAATAAGGACCAACACAACATTATTACTAGGTTATAAGTTTAACTAAATTCTATTTTTCGATAGTCAACCTTACCTTCTTTGTTACAAACTTTCAACAATAATGTATATTTTTAGTTTAAAATCAAAAAATTCTTTATTTTCTTTTCTTTTCGCAATTGGTGACATAACGAATTTTTCGGTTGTTCAACATTATGCAACTGGTTGCATGAAGTAGATTATTTTGACACTTGTTGCGAGTACAAAAAATGTCACTTTAAATGTCAAAATTAGAAAAAGACATTTACAATACCGTGACATAATTGTGCAATTGGTGGAAGATGTTCCGATGAAATATATTTTTTAAATCTTTAACTCAATATTTTATTTCCTTAAATAGGTATTTTAATTATTTTTTTTTTTAGTTTGGCTTGCCAAAAAAATGTCTGTGATGCGATTAAAAACAGCTCTGCGAACGGATGAAAGAGTAAGACTTATGAATGAAATTATATCCGGTATACAAGTGATAAAAATGTACTGTTGGGAAAAACCTTTTGCCGAACTTATTGATTTAGCCAGGAGGTAAGTTTAGATAAAATCGTTCACAGAATGTTTCGAGTTCCATTAATTAAAATTTTAAAAATAACCTTCTATAGTATGAAACATTTTTTAACAAATTTACTTTATAAATCATTGATAAATATAAATAAAAATATCAATTTATTAACTACACTTACCGTTGTTTAAATATTTATTAATATTTATAATTTGGATGCAATGGTTCCTTGCCTGTTTTTTAAATAAATATTTTAATTTCTAGAATGACAAATAAATTCAATTTAAATAGATATTAAATTACTTGAAATACTATGAAGTATTTTCAAGTGTCAAGGTTGATGAATTTATGTATTTTGTATTAAATCAATAAATATTTTATAATCTATTCTTATAGATACCAACTAGTAATTAGTCTGGACTAATGTAAAAAAAATTGCTTTTAATAATCAACCTGTATCTTTGTGGATACTATAGAGCCTGTAAACCTCTTAACCCAGACAGCACAAGTCAGTCCATTGGATGTTCATTGATTGTCATATCGGATGTCCAAAGGACGTCCAACATTTTAAAGAAGGACATCCATAGGACGATACAAATGTCCCACTACTGGACGTCCATTTGGAGTCCATAACGCCGCATTCGTTTCGTCGCATGATCGCCACCGCATGCGATGGAAAAGTTGTATTCTTGACTACCCTTCGTTAGGGTAGTGTCGTGCCGCACGGTGTAGCGATTATTACAGCAGTTCAATCGATTTTCACTAATACTATTTCAGAACATTGTAACAAAAACTGTATTATCGGCTAAACAATGTCAAAAAAAAAATAACCTGTGTGTTTCAATTTTGTAGTTTCTATCATTATTAATATATATTTGAGTAGGTATGAGGGTGAATCAAATATAAACGGTAATTTTTTTAAATACATTTATTGATTAATGTTATACACAAACAAAACATTTAACATTTCTCAACGTAGTTACCTCCATGCTCTACACACTTTTGCCACCCTTTTTGGGAGTTTGAATATTCCTTCTTCGTAAAAAGTTTGACGGCGAGTTGTCAGCCAATTACGCACGTACTCCTCGACTTCTTCATTGCTTTCAAATCTTTTTCCTCCGAGTGATTCTTTCAAGGGTCTAAACAAAAAATAATCACAGGGGGACAAGTCTGGACTATAGGGAGGGTGTTCGAGGGTTTCCCAGCCCAGTACTTCCAGTTTATCCCTTGTCAAAACTGCGGTGTGAGGTCTCGCGTTGTCGTGAAAAAGAATGACCTCTCTAATGGGCATACCCCGTCTTTTGTTTCGATAGGCGATTTTTGTCGACTCTAACAACTGGAAATAGTAAGCCGCATTCACTTTTCGTTGATCGTGAAGAAAATCAACGAGCAAAACTCCCCTCGAGTCAAAGAAAACCGTCGCAAGAACTTTTCCGGCTGAGAGACGGTTTTTGGCCTTCACTGGGCAGCCTTCTTCCTTTCTTCGCCACTACTTACTCGCTATTTTTAACTCAGGAGTGTAATGGTGGACCCATGTCTCATCACATGTGACGATGCGTCTCAGAAAATCTTCCGCTTCTTGTCGAAATCGATTCAGAAGTCTTTCACTGATCTCCGACCAGACCTGTTTTTGATTTTTGGTCAGTAACCCTGGAACCCATCGAGCACTAATTTTTCTGAAGCCAAGATGATCAGTGATAATGGATTGAGCACTCCCATAGCTGAGAACCACTTCTGACGAAATTTCCTCAACTGTTAACAGGCGATCGCCTTCAACAAGCTTTCGAACGGCACGGATGTTGTCATCTGTGAGACTTGTCCTTGGCCGTCGTGACTTTGATTTTCGACACGTTCTCGCCCACCCTTAAATTCTCTGGCCCACGTATACACTCGGTTCTGAGACAGTGTATCATCCCCAAACTGTGCTTTTAAACGAGTAAAAATTTCGGTCGGTTTAACACGTTGTTTAAAAACTTTATGATGATGCGTTGTGCAACAGACGAATGTACCTCCTGCTCAGTCATGGCTGTACTGAGGACAGAACCGAGCGCGACCGCGGCCGCTAAACAAGCCGGCTCCCCACTCCTGCTAAACCAACCCATCACATCGCCATCATCTAGGTCGGAATTACGTGCTAAACGAAATAGTAAAATGACCGTTTATATTTGATTTACCCTCGTATTTGGAAATGAAGATTGATAATGAACGGAAAACTTTAAAATTATCAAAATACTTTTATAAACTGTCAATATGGTAATAAAAATGGATCCTGCCGTCCGGTGTAGTTGAGAGATTGTAGTTCTGCATATCTAATTGTAACTCTTTAATATTCTTGTATTATATATATAACGTGAAATTGCTCTATATTCAGCTGTACTCAACCTTTTCTTCTTTCGGGCCACATAAATCTATTTGTTATGCTACATGGGCCACAATATTTTTGGGTTATAACTAGAGTTGCCACCTCTTTGAAATGTAAATAAAGACAATGGGTGACGATTGGGATCCGTTTTAAGTCCTCATGTTGTTTTAGTAAGCTTCGAAAAGTCGCAAGGACAATTTATTTCAAAAAAAGAACTGTAGATCAACCATTTAAATTCCTAATAATAGTGTTTGGGGCTGCACAAAAAAGTTTGGAGGGCCGCACAAAAAAGCTTGGAGGGCCGCATGCAGCCCGCGGGCCGCAGGTTGAGTATGGGTACTCTATATCATCCATTTTATAAAAATGTACACTTGTATATACAATAACTAAGTAAAGTTAATAATATAATGACTAATGAACACTTGGTAATTATAAAAAATTCATTAAAAAAATAAACTAGGAAGAATAATTATATTTTATATATATTAAATCTATGTGACCAAACTTTGATGTGACAGTGACAAATAATAAGCTTGGATACACATAGTTACCGCAAGCAACGCATGTGGGACACATACTTTGATTATCAAAGTATGTGATGTGGAATCACTCGCATACGGCAAAGGCTTTCAAGAATACCATTTTTCTACTCGCATACGTCACCGCATGCGAGACAATGACGAATGCCGTCAGGAATTAGGCCTCTGATCAGGCAAAACTGATAGTTAAAAATGTGAAACTTTTAGATAAAATTTTGTTAACTAATATGAAAATATGCATTGACCAATAATTAATGAACTATACCTCTATACTTACATATAAACAAAACCCTGCTCATTGTTTCTTTAAATAACCATTTTACTTTCATACCATCATATTATGTAAATTCTTTCGTGAAGGTATTAAAAATTATGTCAACAAAACATCTTTTTATAAGTTCATACATGTCCTTGCCCTCTGGTTTTGGTAACTGCTGAATCTAAAATTGCAATAAAAATATGTATTTGTGAACATTAAAGAGAAGAAACTACTTTCAATACATTATTTCTTAAACGTTACAAAACGATTCTATTTTATTTAATAGAAGTAAAACTTCATTAAAATATTTGTATCTTCTAAATAGCCTCTTACTTCTGCTAACGTCTCATGCAGTACAAATAGAAACTTCAATTTTTTTTCATCTGCTTTGGAGAGTTTCTCACCTCTATTAGTTACAATAATAATTGTGTTGACATCATTTCGAATTTGCAGCATATTATAGCATTTTCGATTCATCACTTTGGAGCACTCTGAGGGCACTCCGCGAGCAACATCCGTGTTCGATTGGTTATGTCAAAGTGGTCTAACTATGATATGCGTGTTCCGTTGAACTTGACGCTCTGGTAAAAGTCACTCTATAATTGCTCTGCGTTGCTCTGACTCTTGAGAGAGATCAACGTCGAGCAAATTGAAACATAACCCAATAGAAAAATATTTACTATCTATTGGCTGGGTTAAAATTTGTTTTTGTTTGTTATCATAATATTAGTATATTATATTATGGTTCGTAGAACTATGAAAGACAATCATTAACAATTCTCGAGAAATGCTCTCATCTTCGGAATCATCTGATAAATATCAATGATTTTTCTGATGATCAGGTACGTGGAAAGTCTTTTTGTGGCCTCCTACTATTTACGAATACAAGTTTAGTGATAATTGCTCTCATAAATAATCGTATTCTGATGTTTCTCGTAATCGGCCAAAGGGCGACTATATAGAGTAACTGGTAATTGAGAGGTCCCGTGTTGCACAATTTTCGAGCACTCTAAGAGCGAGGTCTGGAAGGGTGAACCGAAATCGCTATTAGCTTTTAATAAAGCCATTTTCTTAAATAGGTACATCATTTGACAACAGGCCTAAAAGAAAATGAGTCTTTAACTGTAAATCGAAAATATAAAGTTTAAAACATAATTGTTAGGTTATATTAGTTTAAGACAAACGATTTGATTCTTAATTTTTGGATTTTTAAATAATCTAATGTTAATTATACTTATTTTCTTACCACATAAAATCTATTTATATCTGTGGACTGTTGGCCGTTCTTGTTCTTTACCTCTTTCTTCTTCTTTTCTTCTTTGAGTCTGGTCTGAATTGCCTTTTACTTTTGTATCTTTTCAACAGTAGCGAAGAGGAGAAAAAAATTAATTAATTTATTTTAAATAAAACCTAGTTCTAAATAATTGAATTATACTAGTAGAATTATAATAATTTATTATAAGTTTGTCATTTTTATAGTGTCCATCATGGACATTTTTTGGACATACATTGGACTTCTGAATGAGTATATCCATTGGAATAACAGAAAATGGATGTCCAAAATGGACATCCATATGAAGTTCATGTACTTCCAGGACATTATTTGGACAAAATATGGACGTCCAATGGACGACGTGTGCTGTCTGGGAAATTTCACGCCGTAGGTATACTCCGGACAAGCAGTAACAATAATTTCAAAATTTCCCTTTTGAAATCATTGTCCTTTTCTTTTAAAAACCACACAAACGGGTATCAAGTGCCTGAACTTGTCACGTGGCTAAAATCAAATAAGACAAGACTGTGATTACGATGGACATGCAACCGAGACATTTGCAGTTATTTGTGGATTTACATTGACTTAATCTG